GTTCTCTTGCAATTAGTTACATTGGAACAGCAGGTCTCTGCTTGTACAGAGGCTGTGAATATAGGGCCCTCTGTTGCGGAGCAAGAGCTGTGTTCCCAGGGCTACTGTCTGCTGCTGATTTGTTTCTCAGTAGAATAAACACACTGCAGTGAGTGATAAACATGCTTAAGTGCTTTCGAGCTGGAGGGAAATAAAATGGGGGGATTTAACAAATAATTATTCCCAAATGGAAAGTACCACAAGAATAAGAGACATGGTGGAATGGCTATGCGAATGAATCCTAGTGAGCCTGATTTTATGGAACCTAGCTAGCTAGCCAGGCTGCAAAGGATAGCTATCACAAACCGGCTGTTTATACACTACATTCTTCCTCATGTTTGAGATCAAGAAATATATAAAGGGTAGATATCAAACATGGAATTTACTTACCCGAACCTTCAGAAGGCTAAAATCAAGAATCCAGGCTGATCTAGTTCCCAAACTCAAAATATGCAATTTCTGAAAGCAAATCATTTCACTCTAACGCCTTTTCAAGACACAGAGAGTGAATCACACACTGGAGATCTCTCCCTCCCCCAACTGACCACAGAGGGTGACTAGATATCCAACTACACCATAGCTAACATTAGCTGAAGTAAATCCACAGAGCACGTCACTCTAAGCAGCAGGCTGATGGATAACACATACATCTCCTCTCTTACAAATTTTCCCAAAGAAGTCCACACAGTGCTTGACATTCCGACAACAGATGCAGCAGCTTGCAAAGATGAGGGACCAAAGCCCTAGTACAACACAGATGTCTTAGTAATCATCCACTGACCTTAACTAAGAATTCAACTGGTCCAGAAATGAACTGTGTGTTTACAACTTTAATTTAGATCAACACTATGTATTAAGTGCCTGTAATTTATTAATTCTGTTTAGGTCCCAAGGTTGGGAGAAAGGGTTGGGGAGACCGAGGAAGCAAGTTCATTTCACAGACTTCATAGTCCATAATCTTTCAAAATAATGCTGGAATGCAAACATAATCTGATTAAAACTAGAAAGGCTGAAAAATAATAAAATGACATTGCATAATAAGACAAACAGGATGGCATGAATGAGGCATTTTAAGTTATATCAGCTTAATTATAGCATAGCTTTTCAAGAAAAAAGGTTTAACTCATCACCTACAATAGCTGAAAGCTAGGCTGCAGAAAAAAATAAATTGCTCCCTTCCAGCTAGTGTTTCTCCTGGTGTCATTGTTACAAACTAAGCATCTGATTAAGAGCGGCCTGCCTGCTCCCATTATCTTCCAACTGCACATGCAACTTAGGGCAGGTGACAGAGCCAATGCGTAACACATTATTAAGATGAAGGATATGTTGTGATCTGAGGGACTCTTGTATTGATTTTAATAAAATCAGAGCATTTGGGTTTTTTTGAATCCGTATGTTCCTTGTGAACTCAACAGAACATACTGTTTTCAAATATAATTGAGAAAAACTGATTTCAAATCCTAGGTTGGAACCACAGATATTTCATTTAACACAATATTTATTAACTTTAGCCCTTTAAAGTATACTTTCTGGTAACAAAGCTCAATAGTACTAGATTATACATGTGCCACACACCTTTGTTAGACATAAAAAAGGACTGCATTCTGCATAAAACTATCCATCTGGTCTTTCCCTCAGTTTTTCACACACATAAACACACATATGCACACACACAATTAATCTCAAAAAATGCACCATCTTGTTTGCAAACTCAAAAGGAAGTGGAAACTAAAAGTTTATCTCAGTGGGCTGCCTGCTAGCACAAATGTATGCCTCCTGCTAAATACTGGAGGGGGAGGGTTCAGTATGTGTGTGGAATCTCTTTAGTACTGGCTGGGTAGCATTCAGATGTAATTAACACCACAGTCACCATAGCACACCATAACACACTGCCATAGAAAAGCATGCTGGTCATCATCACTGTAAAAAGGTAAAGTGACTTGACGAAAACCATCTTGTAAACGGTGGCAGGCCACAAGCCAAGAATTCATGATTCCCAAGCTCATGTTCCAGCATGACGCTTCCACTCCACAGAATGCTTCTTTCTGTGGTCCGTACTGCCCAACTAGACTGCAGTGCTGCCAGTCCTGCCCCAGACTGTCTATCGCAGAAGTCAGTATACAGATGCATGACTCTTGCACAGCACACCCATAGGCTACACAACATAAACTAACACATACGAGGGAAGAAGGAAGCAGAGAAGTACCATACAGGCAGAGCAGACACACACGCTCTTATTCCATTTCCAGCATCCAAAAAATGTGTGCAGAGAAATTATTATCCTTCAACACTTGTAGAAGTGTGGATACACAGAGTTGTAAGGTGTGCAAGGCACATGCTAGTGCATCCAAACTTTTCCAGTCTTGGCCAATACCAGTACCAGTATTTCTATTTCCATACTGTTCTTTCCGAAAACAAGGCATCCATGTTTTCATTCTCTATGAACTTCTCTTATCTGGAAATCTCTTTTCAGTCTGATACTTCTGTTGCCATGAAAATGTCTTATAAAAAATATTCACTTTAAAAAATGTTTTATACGAAGGCACCTCTAATTCCTTCTCGCTTCCAGGACACTTGGTAAAATATTACAGGACTGCAATTTATATGCTAAAGGAATTCTCAGATAGCATCTAATTAAATAATTCAATCAGAAAAAAAATTAAAATGAAATATTGGCACAATCCCATGTGTAAAATGCAGCCATTAAAGCTCTCTGGTATTTGCAGGATGCAATTCTATTACCCGTGCTAATTTCATGCCTGTTCAGCACTGCAGGACATCTGAGCTATTGACACCTCTCTCCAACATAAAAAATAAAAAAAGCGGTCCAGGAGAAGTCTGATGGCAAACTACAGATAACCTTTCTGACCTTGTCCAGAACCATTACAGTAGCTGATTAACCCAATTTATGGCAATGAACCCAAACTTAAAATTTCTTAAAACTAACCTTCAAACCCAGCCAAGCTTGGGATATTCCTTTCAATGACTTCAGTGAGTTTTGCACCATGACCCAGAATTCACAGCATCTCACAGCGGTAAGCAAAATCTGATTAAAATAACATCTTATTCTGCATTCTATGCCACAGGAATTCCTTAAGAACCCTAGTTATTATGATTCGACAAGTAAAAGCACAGAAAATCCACTTAGGGATAATGAGCTGTGATTTTAAATTTTTTTTATTCATTTTTTAATCTTATAGGTTTCAACAAGGTATCAGAAATTTGTAAACTTTATTTTTTTCCCATAAGTATATTTTAGTACTTATCACCAAACCATTCACTTAATCATTTTTAGAAGACCTTCTTCAACTTTCATACAGATGTTATTTAAGGAAAATATCTTCTGATTTGTTTTATGCATAGTCACAAAAAGTCACAAAAAAAGTTTATGCTCTAATCCATGCTATACTCTCCCCGAATTTCAGTATACCTTTCTCTACGACTCTGAGAAAAACCACTGACCAAAAGAACATGCCAATAAGGACATCAGCATTGATTGTTATTTTCCTTGAAAAGAAATAAGAGTACCGGAGCTTCACACCAACAAACCTGAAGGAGTTCTGCTCCATCCTCATATGGAAAGTCAATTAATTTCATGTATCTAACTCTTAACAGTGCCTTTTGAAAAATCCCTGCTTCATACATGCTTCCACAGTGCACTCCACTGGCACACAGACAAGAATATATTTCCTTTTTAAAATCCATTTCAGGAATCAAGAAAAACCTAAGGACTGCATGAGAGAACTTAAAACTTACAGGAGCTGCTACATCTTATTATCCAGAAAAAAAAGCAGTACCTTAATAATTTACCCAAAATAACAAGACTATCTGAAAAAAGAAGGCATATACAAACTGAATGGTGATGTGTCATAGTTTAGTTTAAAAAAAAAAATCAATACCAGTCACAGCAAAGTAGCTGGGCTTTAACAGTGCCGCAAACTTACAAGTATTGACTAGCAGGTGAAGCCCAATTCATAGGGGATTAGGCACCTTGCCTGCTCCACCCTTCTTCATATTCCCAGAAGACCAGTTGGCCAAAGCTGCCTGGAAGAGAGCGAGGTTTTTTGCACTGGTGATAGGTATCCTTTACCAGATCGTTTGCTCTCCCTTTTTGGATTTAGGAGAGACTAGAATTGGGATTTGAACATTCAGTAGAGGTTATGCAGCAGCAGAGAAAGATGGTCCCTCCAGGTTTTGCAAGAGTTCTCACCTACCTCCACCCTCAGCCTCCTTATTACCCAACCCACTTAGCAGAGCGAGGGAACGACTGTATGATGCCATGCAGATGATGAAAATATAAAAGAAGACATTAAACATCATCCAGCAAAGCAAAGTCATGTAAAATCCCAAACTCCCAGGAAATAACAGCATTCTCCCCCACTGCTTGCCCACTTCAACCCTCCTCCCAGAGCTCCCACTAAAAGGAGATTAAATTAAAAAGGCATTACACAAATAAGCAATTGCCCCAGTTATAATCCCAAGTGGTCCCCAGCACTACAGCAGCACTAAGGCAAAACCTTGAGCGCACCCGGACGCACGCAGCCTCTCAGCACGGATTAGCAGAGCCAGGCTTATAGGGGGAGAACAAAAATTCCCCTTGCAGCAACCCATTTCGGAAACGAACAATACCAAACACAAAAGAATGAGGATAATAGCAAGGTGGGAAGAGGCT